TGGAAAAGGAAGCGTGTGTTATGCGTTGCTGTTTTCATGGGGTCGTGTGAGATTTTTTTTGACTGTGAGAGTTATGTAAGAATGTCTATTGGCTGAGATGATTTTAATAGGAAGTATTTCACTCATATGAGTTTACTTAGTTCTTATCATTCATGTATTTCAAAAATTTAATTTAAGCCCCCCCCCCAAAAAAAAAAAACATATATATATATATATATATATATATATATATATATATATATATATATATATACATACATATGTGTATATATATATATATATATATATATATATATATATATATATATATATATATAAACTTTTTTACATTGGGTTTTTACATTGTGGGTTTTTCTACCATAGTATCAACACGGTAGAGTGTTTTCATCATTCATATATATGTGTGTGTGTGTGTGTGTGTGTGTGTGTGTGTGTGTGTGTGTGTGTGTGTGTAATAAAAGCCAACGACTCACTGGACAGAACACGCCTGCAGTCCTGGCAGTCGTGATAATCCGGACAAGCAGACGCCCACGCCTGAGCCACCTGCGCCAGCTCCTCGTTCCACACCAGCTGTTGCATGTCCGACGCCGAGTACTGAGGCCCCGGAAGCCCCTCGCTCTCTTCCCCTCGGGCGACGATGGCCCTGTACTTGTTGTGGGCGTCGAGGATGAACGCCCTCTCGCTGCTCGTCACGCCCTCGAGGTAGACGGAGCAGGTGGGCGGTGTTGAACGGCACATCGTGTGGTCCGAAGTGAGTTTTCGATAGTCGTTGCAACTCCATCTGCAATGCGGGGGGTGTGGGGGTTGGGGAGGATTATTAATTGAAGTGTTAGGAATTATTGGTTCATCTGAGTATTTCTTCCAATTCGTGCAATCATTCACTGAATTATTAATCTAATTTTATATACTTCTAGACCGATTCTTTAACATGCTATTCGCTCATATGTATTTATACACACAATCCCCTATAAAATGCTCATGGAACTTACTCCCTTATACCTTATATTTATAGACACAATCCCTTATAAAATACTTTAAGCCATGGGACTTACTCCTTTATCACATATCTATCTATACTTATAGACACAATCCCTTAAAAATTACTCTAAACCATGGGAATTATTCCATTACACACACAGTCCCTTTAAAAAATATATTGTAAACACACTTATCCACCTATATTTATACACACAATCCCTTTAAAAAAATATTGTAAACACACTTATTCACTTATATTTATACACACAATTCCTTTAAAAATATATTGTAAACACACTTATCCACCTATATTTATACACACAATCCCTTTAAAAAAATATTGTAAACACACTTATTCACTTATATTTATACACACAATCCCTTTAAAAAAATATTGTAAACACACTTATCCACCTATATTCATACACACAATCCCTTTAAAAATATATTGTAAACACACTTATTCACTTATATTTATACACACAATCCCTTTAAAAATATATTGTAAACACACTTATTCATTTATATTTATACACACAATCCCTTTGAAAAAATATTGTAAACACGCTTATCCACCTATATTTATACACACAATTCCTTTAAAAAAATGTTGTAAACACACTTATCCACCTATATTTATACACACAATCCCTTTAGGAAATATTGTAAACACATTTATCCACCTATATTTATACACACGATCCCTTTAAAAAATATTGTAAACACACTTATCCACCTATATTTACACACACATTCCCTTTAGGAAATATTGTAAACACACTTATCCACCTATATTTACACACACAATCCCTTTAAAAAATATTGTAAACACACTTATCCACCTATATTTATACACACGATCCCTTATAAAAAAAATTCTCTCAACCAATGAACTTACGTCTGGTGGTACGCGAGCGAGGGCGGCGGAGTGGTTGTGGTGGTGGTCGTTGTGGTTGTTGGTGGTGGCGTGGTTATGCGGGTGAGGTTGTAGCTCCAGTAACGCCGGTAGCCGTAGTGGTTTTGTGCTCCTCCTTTGGGTGATAAGGAAGAGCAGTTGTAATTACGATGGTGATCATAATGGTAGTGGTAATTACAGTAATTATAATGGTAGTGGTAACTGCATTGATGATAATGGTAGTCCTAATGTCAGTGATGACGATAGTACTAATTTCAGTGATTATAATTGGACTGATTTTCAAATATAATAATTGTACTAATTCCAAGGGAACATAGCTTCACTTAAATACTAATGTAATGGTATCAGTCACTGAGATTGTGGAATCGCAATTGATAAATGATAGTTGTTTACAAAAGGATGATAATGGTAGTAATAAATCAAATATATTTATATGAAAAATTATAACATTAATGATGACGGTGTTACTACCACTAATAACAATAAAAATAACGGTAACAGTGTAGTGAAATATAAAAGTGACTGAGAAGAAATTATATACACATATTGTTTCCATTACCGTACTTAAAAGTAAACTAAAAAAAGAAAATCGAATAGCAGTTATGATATTAATTTTATCGGCATTACACAGATAATGATGAACACCCACTTTTGCCCTATTCATGTCATGATAATTCCCCTGAGATTTCTAATGTCAAACTTCCACTTGTTATGCCCCCATGTCTAATCAGTATAGAAAATTATAAAGAAGGAAAGTTAGAAAAGATTGAGAATTGGGTGAAACTATGCTTATGTCTGGAACCTTTAGCTGGATCATTAGAGTGATTATAATGGCCACGAAGGTGTTAAACTAAATTAAAATAAAGATCGTTTTCTGCCTTATATTAATAACATAGATATCATCGGTAACCCCTTCAGAACGTACCATACTTTTACAGAACATACAGAACATAACATACTTTTATTAACAACATATATATCATCGGTAACCCTCTAAGTAGTGTTCATTGTTATACGAAGAACAGAACGTACCAAGGTATCTAGACTCCCAAGAACAGATGGTTCTCGCTGAGTCGTTCCTGAAGGTGTTGAGGACGACGTCGACGTAAGCTGCGTGAGAGGAAGTCAGTGCTACACTCGGACCTTCTCGACCACAATACCTGAAGGAGGAGGAATCACAAGTATTATGAAGAGGTCCTTTGATAATGCTGAAGTTTGTTGAGTGCTTTAACTGTCTAGATATTTCATTATTCGGGTTAAATTTGTCTTGCGATGAACCAGTAAAAATACTTAGTAGGAAAAAAAAATCTGCAACTGAACTTTAAACTTTATACCAAAGTTTATTTAGAATCATTCATAGGATCCTCAAAAGTCGATACGAAAGGTGCTTCAAAGGATTCACATGATTCAAACTCAACAGCAAACCACATGTAAATATTCCTCAAAACTTATTTTCAAAATGACGTCACACATCATTCTGCAAATAACACCCCTCCCCCCACTCCCACACCCACCCACAAAATAGAAAGAAAAGAAAGAAAGAAAAAACACGTTCCGGGCTTTTGAACAGACCTCGTCCAGTCAGCGTCATTGATGCGGATTGCAAGGTGGTCCCGCATGCAGTTTCGAGATTTACGAATGCGGAAGTGCGTGCATTGCAACTTCCAGTGACTTCCAGGAGGGGTCTGCAATGCAAGTGGAGGTATTAATGACCTCGTGTATAATGATGTATATGAGTGTATAAGGAAGATTTTAAGATGTATATGGACGTATTAATAGCCTCTGATCATGTATAATGAGGTATAGGAGTGTTTAGAGAAGATTTTAACATGTATATGGATGTATGAATAACCTTTGATCGTCTATAATAATATGTATAAGTGCATAAAGAAGATTTTAAAATGTATATGGATGTATGAATAAGTTTTGATAATGTATATGAATGTATAAAGAAGATTTAGAAATGTATATGTATGTATAAAGATTTAATTGTGCATATGAAAGTTTTTAGATTTTTTAATGTATATGGATGCATGAATAAGTTTTGATAAAGTATATGAATGTTGTGAGAAACGTTGATAGCCTTTATGAACGTACTGAGACTGTTTAGAGTTGTATATGAATGTATCGTTTATGATTATGTATATGAATGTAAAAAGAAGCCCTAATAATGTATATAGACATATTAAGAAGTTTTAATAATTTATGTAGGTGTACTTAGAAACTTTGATCGTATATATAAATGTACAATATATGTCGGTATAACAAGATGCTTTAATTCTTACATGGAAAAGATCTCGTTCCTTTTGTTCAAAGTCGATAAATAGGAAGTAAACACTTGATAAAAGCTAATGAAAGTAATACTACTAATGATATAATGACGATAATAACACGGGCTTTCCCAGAATGCTTAGGTACTTACTTTAAATCTCCAGAAACAAGAATTTTTGCCACCCGTTTTCTGCGGGTATCCAGGGCTGGTGAAACGCCCGCGATCAGCTGTGATTTCGCCTCCGCAATGGCTTTTGAAAGAGCGAACCTGAAGGAGGAAAAGATGGAGTTGTAAATCGGGCACTTGTTGAAAAGTGATGTTGGCAGAGAACGACGGTTTCATGTGTGAGTGCACAATGTTTTTTTTGTTTTTTTGTTTTTTTGATCGACTCATAAGGGCATGTCCACATCCATAAAAAAATAGATAGATAGGTAGACAGATAGATAGACACATATATACTCCTGACCTTCAGCACAAAGAGCTCCCGCCTGTCGTGGCCAGCGGAGGGTGTCGCCGGTGCCGCTTCGGCCTCGGGCTTCGTAGGCTTCGGGTTCAAGAAGCCGAACGTCTTGGAAGGATAGTAGACCTCCTTGGAGCTCTCCGGCACGTGTTTCGACGGCTTGTGGGGGATGATTTCGTTGTGTCCGCGCGACTGGGACGAACTGGTGACCGGTTCTCGCTGGGGCTTGGCGGGGGGAGGGGGGAGGGCCGGCGGGTTGTGGCGCGAGATGGTGACCCGGTACTGCTTCCTCCGCGAAGGACGCCCTCGACTCACCGTGTAGTATCTGGTGCGGTGGTAGCTGCGTCGGGAGCTCCCTCGATAGCTGCTGCTCG